AAAACAGTTGCAACACTAAAGCAATTCACCGTTTCTCCGATGACGGAGTCGTTTCGAGCCGAGAAACTATCTCTCGGGTCCTTATTACCTTGTGCTTCTGAGGACATCTATATATTGAATACGTGAAGCAAACATTTTGTACCCCTTTTTACGAAAATTGCGCGGACGGAGGAGTATGAAATTTCCCACACTTATAGAGAATATAGAGAAGGAGTGCAGAATGTTAATATTATTTAAAATTATGCATAAAAAAATATTACACAACACACACTACCATGTATTAATTATTATTAATTATTAATACATGGTATTATTGTACAGTCAAACCTGGATAAGCGAGAGTTCAAGGGAGCACAATCTCATTCTCGCTTATAGAGGTTTCTCACTAACCCGAGTTTCTCGCTCCCTCTGAATTTCGATTCGCGATTTTCCGCATTCAAATGCATTCACTATTTTAAGTTTATGACTTTAATGACAGTACTTTAATTTTCTGTTTTTACATGATGCAGCACAGAACTTTCCTTCGCAATTGATTAACGATAAACTGAGTAAGTCCGACAAACAGGACGGTACACAGGCACACGTGTCCATTCGAAAATAATGCGATAAAAGAATACGATAAAATAACAACGTTATTTAGTTCCACGAAATAGAATAGGTTAAATATTCACGAGAAAACAATACAAAAACAATGATAGGAAGTTCCACGAAAGTTAAAAATGAGTCATAAAATAGCAGATGTTAAATTTGTAATTTGTTTTGTCATTTGTTCCTCCTAAATAATATAAATAAATAAATAAAGCTCGGCTGTCGCTTATAGAGGTATAGGATAGGTAGCAGTCTCACTTACGGAGGTCCATGAGGAAAAACGACTTTCTCTTACAGAGGTTTCTGTTTCTCGCTAATAGAGGTTTTGGGAGCTTAAAATGACGGGTCCATGCTATTACTCTAACTTATAGAGTTTTCTTACTTATCCAGTTCTCACTTACCCAGGTTTGACTGTATTTATTTATATTATTTATGTATGTATTTATTTATATTATTATTACTTACTTATTACAGTGTGTGTTGTGTAATGTTTTTATATCTCAAGGTGGGTGGCGCATTTACATTGTAGATGTCTATATGGGATTCAGTAACCACTTAACACCAGGTGGGCTGTGAGGTCGTCCACCCATCTAAGGAATAAAAAAAAATGTATTTGACACATACACGCATGTATACTATTTATTTATTGTCAAACTTTTCTTACTGCTTATATTATAGTCTGTGGTCAAATTGAGAATAAACTGAATATTGTTTGTCTTTATTAATATTTGTCTAAAGTGGAGTCTTGGCGAAATCTGTGATTATAGAAGTATAATAGTCTTCGACAATAGAATGATAATAGTGTACAAATTTATAATTTCAATTAATTATAGTCGAATTTCGATTACCGGGGGTGGGGTTGTTGGTAATCGTTATATTTTATTTTTATTTCCATAGAACTCTTTTTTTTGTTGTATATTTACACCGTATAGTATTAATCTTTTTGTGCGTAACATAACCCACATATGATGACAGCGTTGTTATTATAATATTTAATGTGACTTGAAACATTTAACGATTTATGTGCTATTTGTTTGAATGGGTGAACAATCTCACGGCCCCAATTGTGTTAAGGGTTTATCGAAGCCCATAGACATCGCCACATAAATGCCACCACCCACCTCGAGACATGAGGTGTTAGTCTCAACTGTATAGTATAACGGCTGTCCAAACTACATAGTAATATAAAATGTAAATCATTGATATTTCATAAGAATGGTGATTTGATGTTTGTCTTAACTCAATTAAGATACCTTTTAATTAATTTTTTGCTTGTTTTGTTTCTAGTATCTGCTTGCTTATTCAGTTTTTCTGAACTCAACAATGTTCAACGAGATTTTTTCTAATTCCTGGCATAGAAACGGAACCGTGTCGATAATCCTAACAAATTAGAGCCGTGTTTATGCTACCGTCGATTCTGGATGAAATGAAAAGAAAGAAAAAAAAACAGAAAAAACTAAGAAAAGAAAAAACGCACTATCAACAACGCTAATTGCGTGCGAAACTCGCGCGCGGCGGCGCCGCTGCGTGCGCACAAACGGGCCCGTTCGTGTGTGTTTACGTCGCCGGGATATTTCTGTACCGGAACCGAACCGTCGCGCTATCGCCAGCCAAAAATCCCGACCGTATAATCGGATCAAGGTGGCAGCAAAGCACACAATTTCGAATATTCATTCTAGGCTTCATGTTTTTCTCTCTCGGCTAATTGAACGTTCTAATGTTTTGAGGGAAAACGTGTTTTTTTTGTTTTGTTTTTTTTAAACAATCTATTTTTGAACCCCGGTTGGATGTGGTAAAGGCGGATATGGAGGAGGATAACCTCACCCAGAAAGTTGCCGAAAACCGGACAAAGTGGAAGAGTTTAAGCTGAAAAGCTTACCCCGGCACTAGACTGGGAAAACGTTAGGAAGAAGAAGAATATTTTTTTGCTTTATTGCCTAGGTGGGTGGACGCGCTGACAGTATACCTGGTGTTAAGTGGTTACTGTTGTCTATACACATCCACAACGTAAATACGCCACCCACCTTGAGATATAAGTTCTAAGGTCTCAGTATATGTAGTTACAACGGCTGCCCCACCCTCCAAACCGAAACGCGTTACTGCTTCACGGCAGAAATAGGCAAGATGGTTGTACGTACGCAGTAATTACGCAAATTATAATTATGTGGGTTTGATTTTTATTACACGATGTTATTCCTTCACCATGGAAGTCAATCGTGAATATTTGTTGAGTACGTATTTCATTAGTAAAATTGGTACCCGCCTGAGATTCGAACACCGGTGCATCGCTCAACACGAATGCACCGGACGTCTTATCCTTTAGGTCACGACGATTTCAATCTATTTCGTAAATCGCCAACTGGTGTAGGCAGATAAATGTTTTCTTTTCATGGATCGGCTCAATGTCTTCTCAGTTAAACTATAGATTCTAATGTCGCCGATATATTTATCGTAATCGTATCTTTCAACGAAAAAACTACATATATTCCCCTGTCGTGTGTTTTCCAACCCAATGCGGACCAAACTTGATTTATTTTCATATAACAAAAACAAGTCATAAATATATAAGGAAATCAAATGAACAAAACACAATTATTTTCATCATTTCAAAGTGTTCTTTTTACACGTCCTTGTGCGGTTCTCATAGCGCATTGAATTTAAATTGACATTAATTAGTTTAGCATATTTATTAAACTATTATGATTTTTTTTTCACATCACTTACACGAAATGAATGAGTAATTTATTCCGAACGTTTGCGAAGACGATAACGTTTTTAATGCCCCCTAAAATATAATTAAAATCGTTCTTAACAATGAAGCAATTGACGTTAAATTAATGGATTATTACCATCTTAATTCTTGGGATTTTTCTGTCTAATCGAATCCCTAATCTTGCATTGTAAATACTTCATGAAATTAAAAATGTTTAGCATTAAAAAATTACGTTAAAAATTATTTTTCTGTGTCTTATAGATACTAGTATAAAAATATAATAGCTATTATAAAATACAATACATCCCAAAGACACTGAGTTTTTCGCCTGATCTTCTCAGCACTGCTCTTGCTAGGGCTAGTGTTAGCAAATTCTCTCAGGTTGAGTTCGTGAGCTCGCCTACCTGTCCAAGCGTAGCCGTCTAAGCTACCAGCTAATAGGAATAAAATCAATACAACTGAAACTTCAACTTGATGCCTTCAAGTCCGCGGCGGTCTTCACTGAGTAATAACTAAGTTCTAATCTCTTAATGCCAAGCGACCCTTATGCAATACAAAATATAATAGAAGCGACTTTGTTAATTAAATAAATATACTTAAGAAATCCCTTATTTCATTACTGGTAGTAGAGCGTCTTATGAGTCCGCACGGGTAGGTACAATCACCCTGCCCATTTTTTGCCATGATGCAGGTATGCGTGAAAGGCCGTTTTATTGTGAAAATTGAGATCTTTGAACTCATATCTCAAGGTGGGTGGCGGGAATTCCTTTCTTAATGTCTATGGACTCCGATAACCACTTAACTAACTAGATGAGCCCAGAGCTCATCCACCTATCTAAGCAATAATGAAAAAAATGGGAGCTGGTATGTCAGTCGGTGATGACATGGAGGATCACTTATGAAAAACAGAAAGTCAAAATAACTTACAATGATCCACCTACCGGTGCTGGAATATTAGCCGTATTAGTCACTGGTTTTTATCACATTGACGTTTGAACTACTTATCGACTCATCTGGTATAAAGTGGTCACAGAATACATAGACATCACAGCACGAATGAACACATTGAGACAGATCGAATTCCCACTCTTCAAGCTGGATGGAACACATGACTTTTTCGCGGCCCGTGTCTGCATTAGTGAATGTAATTAATGCTAGTCCACTATAGACCATACATTTATGAGTATACTTATACGTAATTCACCAGGTTCGATGTTCAGTCATAATGGATATCTTTTACTCGTCTTGTTTCTGTCACAGTACAAAGATAAAATTTTACCGTAGTTACTCTTGAACGTGCAAAGTTTATTTATTTATTATCTACGAAACTGAGGAAATCTAGTTTTTGGTTAATAATCGTAAACTTTTTTTGTCAGCATATCCACAATGTTCGAACATATTTGAATCTTGCCTTATGTTAACAGGGTAACGCTTAGAATTCGTCTTTATTAAATACTAGCGACCCGCCGAAACTGTAATTTATTATTGATTTCTCCACTATTTAATGGATGATATTATACATGTAAACCTTCCTCTTCAATCACTATCTCTTAAAAAAAAACGCATCAAAATCCGTTGCGCAGTTTTAAAGATTTAAGCTTACATAGGGACAGAAAAAGCGACTTTATTTTATACTATGTAGTGATTCTTTTGATATGCATCTGAACTCTCAATCTCACTGTCCGATATCTTCGCGCAGTATGGAGATTAAAGTGGAGCCGGGCATGGAAGGCGCATTAGTTCCTCGTCCGGTGAAAGAACGGAAGAAACACGATCGCTTCAACGGAATGAGCGAAGAGGAAGTCTCGAGACGAACGCTGCCGGATCACCTCGCCGAGAACTTGGACATCATCATTGTGAGTACGATCGGAACTTGAATATTAAATAAAACCTTTATTTACGTTACAGGGTAGACAGGGATACTACGTTCAGTCCTAGCGGTAGGCAGCGGCCATGCTCTGCCCCTGGCATTGCTGAAGTCCATGGGCGACGGTAACCACTCACCATCAGGTGGGCCGTATGCTTGTCTGCCTACAAGGGCAATAAAAAAAAAAACAATAAATGACGTCAAAAGCGTGCTACGTTTTTTATTACTTTACAATACGACCTATATCATGTAAAAGTTCAACGTTAGTCAGAACATATGAGGTCGTCAACGCAATAATGGCCTAACCCACAATTTTTCATATTCATGCTTATAATTATGTATATTGCAATTTATTTAAAATATAATAAATTTTGATGCAAAACCGGCCTATCCATAATTTTACCCATAGATAACAGAGATGGCTTAGTAAACATTATTTTTGCGCGTATTGTTTTTTTACCTACTCAAATTCAAATTCATAAAAACTTAAACCTCATTGCTCCATAATAACTATGGTTAGCTTAGGCCACTTTTGCGCTGACGGCCTCATATAACAATTTATCGATATGTCAGTTTTTATTTATTTTCATCCGTGAAGATTTTTTTGTAAAACAGTGTTCGCTCAGCAATCGAACTTCGACCGTATCTAGTTTAGTTTTAGATTCATTTTTAAGAATTTAATTTTATGTATTCTGTTGGTTTTTGATATTTTGAAGGAAAAAAAATTAAATATCTTCATTCTTTCATCGATAATAATAAAGCTCGTATATTAACATCTAAAAAGTAAATAACAAAAATCGGAATTCAAAATTGATTTAACTTGTATTTTCGTGTTTTTTTTTTAATGTAGTATTTATTGTTATTTACGATGCTTCGAATACTTTAGAGTTTTCGTTGTCACTGACGACGATTAACTAATAGTAGTGTTAGTATATAGTATTAGTATATATGGACCGTTTATTTTGAAAGAGGTGTAAGTCCATTTTCTTTTTGGAACGAAGTTCCTTATCGCGCGTCGTGAAAGGGAGCTAGACGGAAAAAATTCTTACGAAAAGTTGTCACGACACTTTTTAGATCCGTCATTCTGACCAATCAACGTGTAGGCGCTTATTGCGTGACATTGCTCGTATCCGATTGGTCCGCGTAATGAGTACAGTTTCTCGAGATAGCATTTCAACAATAGTAATTTAGTTCATAGTATTGTTTTTTTCTTCTTCATAATGCCGTAATTTATTATTATAACTTAAAAAAAAATTACAATTCTTTTTTTTATTTTTTTTTTATTGCTTGTATGTGTGGACGAGCTCACAGCCCACCTGGTGTTAAGTGGTTACTGGAGCCCATAGACATCTACAACGTAAATGCGCCACACACCTTGAGATATAGTTCTAAGGTCTCAGTATAGTCACAACGGCTGCCCCACCCTTCAAACCGAAACGCATTACTACTTCACGGCAGAAATAGGCGGGGCGGTGGTACCCACCCGTGCGGACTCACAAGAGGTCCTACCACCAGTAATTACGCAAATTATAATTTTGCGGGTTTGATTTTTATTGCACGATGTTATTCCTTCACCGTTGAAGTCAATCGTGAACATTTGTCGAGTACGTATTTCATTAGAAAAATTGGTACCCGCCAGCGAGATTCGAACACCAGTGCATCGCTCGATACGAATGCACCGGACGTCTTATCCTTTAGGCCACGACGAATTCCTTCGACGAATTCCTTCACTAATTAATCGAAAGGAACTTCGTTCCATCCGGGTGTCCCTTGACACCCTTTTTTTTCGAGAAAATTAAAGGTTACTATATAGTAAACAAATAGTAAACAACAAATATTTGTTGATTTAAAAATACAGGCAAATCATATGAGGTCTGGCTATGCCACCTACCTCTGTCAATTGGACTTACACCACTTTCATAATCGATGATTATGCAATTTCATTTACCGACCGATTTTGAGTTGTATAAAACATGGGTTTTTTTTTTAAAATTAAACACGGACTACATAGTTATATATAAAAAATTTACATTAAATTAAGCATGAATTACGTGATAGCTCATTTTTCTCAAAAATGGACCTACACCACTTTCAAAATAAACGGTCCATATATATTACTTATAATAGTAGTTTTATTTGTGTCTGCAAGTCGCGAAAACCGAAGGCGTTACTATAAAGAAAATGGGTTAGCAACCTTGTGGTACTAAAATATTTTTTCGTTTCCTTGTATGTATGTAATGCGAAATCGTTTTTTTGTTCAATTCGCAGATCGGCATAAACCCTGGCTTATTCGCCGCTTATAAAGGCCATCACTACGCGGGCCCCGGGAACCACTTTTGGAAGTGCCTATATCTATCTGGCCTCACGAGGGAACAGATGAGCGCCGATGAAGATTATAAGGTATATTTTCACATAATATTTAAAATAAAAAAATGTATATGTACACCCACACAAGTAACCCTCCCCAAGGTATATATACAAAAGAGAATGGGTGTTTGTGTATGTTCGTGATATGTAACTTTGCGCCCTTAAAAAGGGCGACATGATCACTTGGCCGAATATAGTGGTGCTTTTAGGCACCTAAAACATCGGTCACCGTCTTTGTTGAAGAGTTCGACGAGTGAACTAAGCCATATAGGTACTCAGCCCGCTGAGTTTCTCGCCGGATCTTCTCAGTGGGTCGCGATTCCGGTCCACTGGTATTCTGAGAAGCACTAACTCTTGTTAGGGCTAGTGTTAGCAAATTCTCTCTGGCTGAGCCCATGAGCTCACCTACCCGGGTGTCCGGGCGTAGCTGAAATAGCCTCTTAGGCTATCAGCGAATTGGTAAGGAAAAAAAACACATAGTTACCTTATGCCTATAGCACCTTAATGCCGGATAGGTGGCGTTAGTGGCAATGATTTTTCTTTTGAACCATCGGTTGAATTGATGTGAAATTTCGTAAATAATATGCATATCGTAGCATTGGAACATCAAATAATTAGGTTTATAGGTGAAGCGAATCGCATCAAGCACTAACTAGTTTTAAAAAAAATGGCGTATCCAAGTGCTTGCGAATTTCGAACTTATTCTTAAAGCTAAACTGTAGAAAATTTATTGTTTATTTTAATTTTAATAGATGACTGTGACACGTTTGGGGTTTTCGCGAAAAGTTTTGACTAAACTAACAATATTAATAAGCGTGCAAAAAAAATTTTTTTTTTCGTAGGAGTGATTCTGGTACTTATCATTTCAGGAATAAGGTTCAAACTATGAGCTCTAACGTTTTAAATGAAATTTCCAGCTGTTGAACTTCGGCATTGGATTCACGAACATGGTGCCGAGGCCGACGAAGGGCTCTGCGGACCTCACCCGGCGCGAGATCAAGGAAGGCTCGGCCGTTCTGCTGGAGAAGCTGCAAACCTTTAGACCTAAAGTGGCCGTGTTCAACGGGAAGTTGATCTACGAAGTGTTCTCCGGGAAGAAGGACTTCTGTTTCGGGAAACAGCCAGACACAATAGCCGGGACTAATACTGTGAGTTTTGTGTTGACGCTACTTTTTTGTTCGTTAGCAATTCGCCTACACTTTGGGGGCGATTGGGTGTTACGATGCGAACTTTGCCCCCCACCTTGTGACGTGGTATCGAAGTCTCCATTGTATATTAAAACGACTGCCCCTCCCCGGAAACCGAAGCGAGTGATTGCACCACGGCTGTCCGCCAACGCTTACTAACAAGCAAATTAAGATTTAACCATAGAAATCGAAAATCTCTATAATTTCATCACGAGAAACACGCGTTGAATTTGTAAATAATTGACTCAGCCGCTATACAGCCTGCGTGATTAAATATGTTCAGTCGGAATTGTGTGTCCGTATGATAATGATTGGACGAAAATTATTATCGTAATCCAAAACGGTTTATTTAGAAGAATAGCAAAAAGAATACATGCGTATAGCGATGAAACATATAAATAATATAAATAATTTAAACATTAAATAAGTCTATATATATAAAAAAGAATTACTGTTCGTTAGTCTCGCTAAAACTCTAGAACGGCTGGACCGATTTGGCTAATTTTGGTCTTGAATTATTTGTGGAAGTCCAGAGAAGGTTTAAAAGGTAGATAAATTTGGAAATGTTCGGAATTAAATAAAAATGACAATTTTGTTTTTCCTTTAATGCGTCCCCCGTCGGACGGATTCCTTTTGTTTGTTTTAAGTTTATTTTATACAAAAGCTTAGGTCTTTTATTTATCGATTGAGGCACTACGAAGTCTGCCGGGTCAGCTAGTAATATATAAATAATAAAGTGATTGATTGATGTAGTTATTATGTCAATGACACTTGTCGGAAGGCTGGTGATGACTTGTTACTCCCCAACTGGCTTATCGAATACTTAGTATTTATTGTAATGTCCCTCCTTTTGTAATGTACGAGCTCAAAATGCGCTTTGTATATATAATTAACTAGATTTATTTATTAACAAGTAACTGTGGGTAGAAGGTTTTATAGCGGTTGGGCATTAATCGAAATTCAACCATAATCACTGGTACTTCAAGGCTAAGATTAGATTGGTTTTAAATTATTATTTTTTGTAATTATAAATCATCAAAATGTTTTTTTTTTAATGATTAACGTCTGTTAGTAGCTAGTCTAACAAAAAAAGCAAATCTACTCACAAATAAAAAAGAAAATGGTATTCTACTGTTTTGTGTGTGAGAATTTGCCTGCATTTAAATATAATGCGTACGTTTTAAATTTCAAAGCATTTCAGTGATCTCACAGCATTGAAATCTTAAAAAAAATGATTGTATTATAAAATGATGTTATTAAAAATGTTTAGTATATATATATTTTATGAATTCGATTAATTATTGGCGAGATCGTGTCGTGAACATTATCTTGGCTATTTCGATTGCGTACGAGTTCCGCGGTCCGGTTTGAGGAACAGGCCAAACTAAATACTACATATTGAGATTCCGAGTCTACGTCGCGCGTTACCGTTCGCGTTGTGACGTCACTGACTCCGGACTCAGCGGGCTCCACATTGTAGAGTCTAACAGCAAACCTCACAATTCCAGTAGAGGACTTTTTGGCGGGAACGCGAGGAGTGAAGTTGTGTGATCTGTTTTATTTTGTCTATTTAGTGTTTCTTCAGGTTTAAATGCGTAATAAAGGTGGTTTATTAACTGTTTAGTATCTGTGAAATTTCACTAATCTGGGAAAATAAAACAAAGCCGCTGGACGTAACTTCTCGGGATCCTCCAAAAAGTCCCCTGAAAATTTCTCAGTAAATGACCACCATTTAATGAGATTATATTTCATCCCATATCATATCATTTCATTTCATGCCATGTTTCATAGTATTAATCAACTTTATTTAATTTCACTTCATATTATCATTTTCATCATTACAATAAGACTTGACCTAAAGGTCTTAGTTACCAGGTCACAAAATTCCTTAAAAAAAAAACAATTCCAGTACATGTGGGTGATGCCGTCGTCGTCGGCGCGCTGTGCGCAGCTGCCCCGCGCCGCCGACAAGGTCCCGTTCTACGCCGCCCTCAAGAAGTTCAGGGACTACCTCAACGGCCTAGTGGCGCACGTCGACGAATCGGAACTAGTGTTCCCGGACACGACCAGCCGGCGGCCGCAAGAGGAGATGGAGATACGCAGGTATCAAGCGAACAGGTGACCGAAACGCGAAATTGAGAACGTTCCGAGCCGAGTTCGATATTAGAAGATAAAATCGATTTAGTTATCGATATAGTCTTGTTTGTTTAGCGCGTGTCTATGTATGTGTCTGTGTGTGTCTCTGTATCCAGGTAGTCGTGCTGTGTCCATTGTAATATTAATTCGTTCATAATTGATTCGATTAAAAAAAAAAACTTTTTCGTATCGGCCCCAGCAATCTTGGCGTCGCGGTTTGTATGATCGGAATGCGAGACGTTCTCAAAAGATAATTTAATAAGTAGTGGGTAGTCGATTTGTTTGGTTGTGATGTCCGTTTTGTTTGTTTCGCTTGTCGTGTCATTGTTTTCGGCTTTAAAACGTATTAACAGTAGTGATGTTATTTTCGTGAGCAGCCGCATGCCGAGGTTGTCTTGTGACCCCATTTCGATACGTACATAATAGTTTAGAACTGTTCTTTTGGCGTGACAACGTCTTATAATTCGATGGAGCCGGTTGCACGCACGAAAAAACATGACTCATGAGGCGTTCCATTTAAGGCTTGAAGTGCAAGCGAGAGCGCGCAACGAGCGACAAAGAGGCACAATCGGCCTCCGCGTTCGGCAGCGTTCGACATCTGTCTCTCTCCTACTTGAGTGAGCGATGCATCCGCGTGGACAGCTGCTATACAATAATACATTTACATGTTTTCGTCAAGTATGAAGATCAGTGAAAAGTGAATGTGGTGTCAATTGTTGATAGCAACGATAATTGCGATAATTGAAAAATGAAACCATTCCATTGATATTTTCTTATGACGTTGTCACGTTCAACTATCGTCAGTAAATCGACTTTACAGACAACCGATTTTTTTTTCGTTAGTTCGTTAAATCGCATGTAGCTATGTGACTTTTAAAGGAAAATGTGCCTGTGAATTCGATATTATCTAACGAATTAGACTACACATTCTTTAATTTAGTTTATCTTGATGACAATCCTTGTCGAGAATCCTTCGTTATGTCGATGTCATAATGTACTTAAACTCTAGTTGAGGTTAGAGTGAGACATCTTGGCCTGTTGCCACTAATTGGCTTCTTATCCTGGTAAAGTGATCACATCTTACTTGACGTTGTATTGTGGTCGTTGGATTTTTAAATTCAAAACCTAATTGAACCACATTTTGCTTACTATCGAGAACAAAGGAGCTTATACCGTCCTGATGGTAATTGGTCATGTTTTTACAAAACTGTTGCGGCTTGGATCACATGTCTTAAAGTGGGCGGTGAAATTTACGTTACAATGTCTGTGAATTAAGGTCAACTTAATTGGCTTAATGCCACATAGAGCCTGAGCTCGTCAGACTGCGGAAAAGTCACCGATTGCTGTGACCATATTTTATCTTACAAGTTAATTCAGAAACTGCAGTTTGACCAAACGGAACCAATTTTGGTTATGCAAGTTGAAAGTCATAAGGTTTTTTTAAACATCCACTTATGCAATCCAAAACATTTTTTTCATAAAAGAACATGTTATTATTCAGATCTGTGACATTAAAAAAATGAACAATCGGTGCGTTTTGAATATCAATAATACACAAATAATAGATCAACTGAAATAGGAAATTAGAATGAAGTGTGGGTGAAGGAGGTACTGAAGGAAATGCTTTCAATTTGCACAACTATTGTAATTAGAATTAAGTTAACTAACTAAACGATTAAAGACAACATTAATGTCAAATATGAATTTGATTTTCATTAAATATATGAAGCTACTTTAATATCTAATGTACTTAGCAAAGACATCTAATTAATTGTACTGTCAAAATAATTCTCATGTTTGTTTTGATGGTGTATCAATCTTGAAACATGAATCGGAATGTCTCCGCCATGTTGTATCGAACTAGATAGCGGCGTTATGTTTTTGATGTTTTCAGATTAACAATGGAACCAGAGCCGGGAGACACGATAATACTGGAGGACGGCACTGAAGTACCGTTGAAGAAGAAACGCGGACGTCCAAAGAAAGTCAAACTGGAGAACGGGGAAACAGCTCCTCCTATACCCAGGGCTCCCAGACAACCCAGACCCCCGCCCGTATTGGACCCTAACGGAGAACAGCCCCCGAAGAAGAAGAGGGGCAGACCGAAGAAGATCAGACCAGAGGAACAACAATTTCTGCTTCAGCAACAACAACAGCAGCAACAGCAACAGGTTTGTTCATATACCGTTGTTTATAGGAGTAAAGATCACTCTTAAATGTCAAATGTCAGTATAGGGGGCATTAGAATTATTAATAACACGAAAACAGATGACCCTGGTCATTATACAATACAAAATAAATCCCATTCGTAATGCTATGCAATGCACTGGATGTAACACAATCAAAACTTTAGTGCCGCGCCAGGTCAACGACCTCAAGGGAATTTATGCTTTATAATTTCATATATTTTTCTTTTATTCTTTTAAAAGCAGTTGATGTCCACAGCTGACTGATAATATTATTATTGCACTGCGTTCCAATGATATATTAGTAATACATCACTATTTTAGATTAACCAAAGTAGCTTATCAAGTTTGTTGTTAAGCTGTTTCTTATAGTTAGTTTCCAGTTACGGACGAGGTATAGTTTAAGGTTCTGAATGACGGGAACACTTATATTGACACTTGTTTTTTTTAACCTGTCATGTATATTTTTGAATGAGCTTTTACTGTTCAGCTGAAAACTCATACACATCACATTGTGAATCTCATTTATCTTAAGACATGATGTTGAAGACAACATTTTATTGTATAACTAAAGCCGCAACGCACAATTGCTTCATAGCAGAAATAGGAAGGTGGTACTTACTGGTGCTCATGATTCGGCTTGTGTTGGTTCAATACTCGAAGCACGCTTACCGATCGTTGCTTAGTATGCTTAGTGCGAGATTTTTTAAAGTTCTCGATAGCGTAAAAGTTAATTCCAAAGTTGTACAGAGTTGGAACGTTTGCCCACGTTTGCCGCTAGGGGCGCTGTTGCAACTGCATACTACTATAAGTTAACTGTTACGCTATCGAGAATGTTCAAAAACTCGCACTAAGCAGTCAGACGACAGGAAGAGATGTGACCTGAGAACCCTCTCATCGTGGCCACCGGTAACTACGTTCCCAATCCTGCGGACAGAATGGAAAGCAGTCGACGTCGCCCCAAACACGTCATTTCGGATCCTCCCGATCCACTAACGGTGCTTTTAGGTACCTCAAGTATCGGTCATCGTAAATTAACCCTCAGACACAGCCCACCAAGTTTCTCACCGGATCTTGTCAGTGGGTCACGCTTCCGATCCGGTGGTAGATTCTTCGAAGCACGGCTCTTGCTAGCGTTCGTGTTAGCAACGTCATCAGGTTTGAGCCCTGTGAGCTCACTCACATACTAGTTAAGGTTACGCTAAAATAGCCTCTGAAGGCTCTCAGCTTAGGTAGGAAAAAAAAAAGATATGTGATCTGACGTTCTAGACAACAGACGCTGACAAAACTTTTTTTTTTTGTAGCGGTGATATCTTTAGTAGCAAATATAATAATAATACATGAATTGAAAATGATAATTTCAGGAAGCCCAGACTATACACAGTAATGTTTGTGCACAGCAATCGAATCCGAGTCAATTGTTACAAACCCCGCTGCCCTCGATGCAGCCGCTACCTCACGAGCAGTACTCCATGGGCGACTTCCCGCAGCAGATGTCGCAGCTGTACCAGCAGCAACTGGCCGACAACTCCTCGGGGTACTTCCAGCCACAAGGACAGCAAGCGCAGCCGGCATCAGGTAACTTTGGAAGCGCTCCTAAACATTATTTTTATAAAGGAGGCGTAAATACTTTCTATACCACTATCGGTCTATCGTAGCTTTCTATCCTTGACTCTTGTGAGTCCGCACGGATAGGTACCACCACCCTGCCTATTTCTGCCGTGAAGCAGTAATGCGTTTCGGTTTGAAGGGTGGGGCAGCCGTTGTAACTATACTGAGACCTTAGAACTTATATCTCAAGGTAGGTGGCGCATTTACGTTGCAGACGTCTATGGGCTCTAGTAACCACTTAACACCAGGTGGGCTGTGAGCTCGTCCACCCATGTAAGCAATAAAAAAAACTGAATATATTGATGTGCGTAAATAGACCGAGAACAACTCATTGATGTAATTGATGAAGCTAAGTTTCTACCGCGACGGATGAATTTAAAGAGATTTGCTAGGTATTCGAGATCTCGTCCTTGTCCAATAGAGGTCGTTGAATGTTGAAGTTGAAATCTGTTCTATTTTCACATCGCAACATAAGGAACTGTGGGTGTGTCTTCAGGCATGGAGTCGCCGCTGGACGTGACGGGCACGCTGGCGGGCATCGGGCGCGGCTACTCGTCCCCGGGGGGCAGCGCGTCCGGCGCCGGCTACTGCGCCTCGCCGCGCGCCGTGTACGCGTCCCCAGTGTCGCAGGTACGCACATAACGTCACACACGTACATGACATAGCGTCACATAAATCACATAACGGAGACCGATGTGCCAGCCCTAAATTGAAATGCTTATTAACTCCGGACGAAGCTTCGACTGAATCCGTAATGTATACATTAATACGTGAAGCAAAAACTTGTAGCCCTTTTTACGAAAATTGCACGGACGGAGAAGTATGAAATTTCCCACATTTATAGAGAATATATAGAGAAGGAGTGAAAAATGTTAATTATTTTTTTAATCTATAAATATAAAAATGAATTGCTGTTCGTTAGTCTCGTTAAAACTCGAGAACGGCTGGACCGATTTGTCTAATTTTGGAATTATTTGTGGAAGTCCAGAGAAGGTTTAAAAGGCTTAAAAGGTAGATGAAAATACTCTGAATTAAAAAAAATAACAATTTTGTTTTTCCTTTCATATGTCCCCCGTTGGACGGGTTTCTTTTGTTTGTTTTATGTTTATTTTATACAAAATTTTAGGTCTTTTATTTGTCGAATGAGGCACTACGAAGTCTGTCGGGTCAGCCAGTTCTGCATAAAAAATACATTAAATCAGTAAAAAAAATATATTACACACAATACCATGTATTTGACACACACACCCACGCATACTATTTGTTTATTGTCAAACTGTTCTTATTGTTTATAGTCTGTGGTCAAATTGAAAATAGATTAAATATTGTTTGTCTTTATTAATATTTGTCTAAAGTGTAGTCTTGACGAAATCTGTAATTATAGAAATATAATAGTCTTCGACAATAGACTCATAATTTCAATTAAATGTAGTTGGATTTCGACTACAGGGGGACAAATCTTATTTACCAAATTATTCTTAATTCTTTCAGGAATAGCCTCTAATAATTCAATCTCATCCCTCTTGTTACCTATTATTATGAATCGTACAAGTATCGCTTTCGACCGTATTCTTCTAGTATTAGCCTGAACCGGATCAAATCGGTTAAATTTATGTTTTGTAGTCTCAGGGCTACAGCGAGGGCGGGTCGGTGTTCCCGGGCTCGCCGGGCGGGTATTCCCCGGCGTCGCGCGCGGCGTTCACGGCGCGCTCGCCGCTGTACGCGCACAGTCCCGCCCACCAACCCTACCTGCCGCATCAAGGACAGGTGACTTGACTGCAAACTCGCGCCTGCCGCCATTACAGATGCTCAAACCTATCTCACCAATAATTATGAGCTTTACAAATATATCGACGCTTGAAAGGCAAACGTGACTAAGCGACAATAACTGCTTTGTACATAAATTATAGGCAATAACCATATTCGATGCGCAAAAAATATATATTTGTAGGTCTATTAAAATCGTTTCAATCCTACAGCTAGATTCGTTAAAAAAAATTTTTTTTTCAGTTATTTCATTTTTAAATTAGTCTGCTGTAAAGTTCACGCATTGTCGCTTAGTCACGTTTGCCTTTCAAGCGTCGATATATTTAAGGGTGTTAATAACAGTTTACTATGAATTTGAATAAGTTGCCTTTGTTTTTGTTTATTTTAATATTATTCCCCGCTATAGTCTGAAATTTTATGTTTTAATCTAAAAACTTGTACACATATCGTCTTCTCGCATTAAAACTGTATAATCTCAAAACTTACTAAATTTTACAGGAGAGTGTTTTAAAGGTTTAACATATTATTATTATCTTTTTAATATTAATCATCTTTGCAACATTTATTTTTTAGTTTTTACCAGTTACATTATATGTATTTTAAAGTAAGATAAAATTATGTATTAATTATGTTAATAATAGTAAAAATATAGGTAAACTAAAAAAAAGAAAAACTAAACCACACTCTTTTGACAGTATTTATGAGAAAAATACTGGTGATACCAAATGATTCCGCATATTAACTCAATTTCTAATATTTTTGGAAATTGTACACTTTTAATGCGAAAAGACGATATTTGATTTAAGCCAGAATAACGTCTACCATAGAAAAGTAACAAGTGATGAATGGGGAGAAATAATTGTGCTTTTGTGTCGACAGCAGCCGAGTCCGGTGCCGCAGTCCCGCTTCTCCCAGTCGCCGCACCCGCACCACCCGCACCCCTACTCGCGCTCGCCCGCGCCGCAGGTCACTTGAAATACAATTTATTTATTACTAGCTGTATCCGTCCGCTTCGCTGGGTATTTAAAATTTACATTATTATTTCTCACCCCCACAAAGATTCTCATCATTAACGCCCCCGCAACTGGTATAGGGAGTCCAACACTCATATAAATATTAGCCTATCCATTAAGTACATGTATTTTCTACATGGATACCAAGTTTCAAGTCGATCGGGTGCATGGTTCAGTAGTTGTAACGGAACATCCGTAAAAACCACTGTAGATTTATATATTAGTATAGATTATTATAATATTTCCTTGGAGACAGACGAGCGTACGGCCCACCAGATGGTGAGTTACCGTTGCCCATGGACTTCAACAATGCCAAGAGCAGAGCCAGGCCGCTGCCTACCCCAAATTATATGTCACTGTACCGTCGGAATCAACTTGAAGTTATTTTGACAGTTTGAATTAGTGATACATCGATGTATATCCACTTTAAAAACAGAACAACATATTCCTATTGATTTTAAAAAAATTAACCTGTTGTATGTAATGGAAGTTCCCCACTTTTTAATTCATGTCAAATTTGTGATTCAGATAGTGTAAAATGTGTTGTTTACATCCAAGAACAGTAGTTGTTTTTATCATAAAATACTTGATGTATAAATTACCACTGGATTCTATCCGTTGGTGTGTAAAGTCACGAACTACGAATAAACTGTCATTTTTATTTAAAAAAACATACATTTGCCGTCAAATTGTCCTCTTATGATTATATGTGTATCATGTGTAAGATAATGGAAATAAATATTTGTTTTAGAACCAGTCCCGGCCGTACTCCCGTTCCCCAGCGCCGTCAGGGGGCGGCGTGGTGGGGGGCGGGACCACCCCGTTCCCCGCGGCTTCGCCCGCGGGAGGCTACACGCCGTCCCCGGCGCACACACCCTACAGTCACCACTCGTCGCCGGCTCCACCCTCGAGGACGCCCACTTACAATGACACACACCATTTCGCGCATCAGGTTAGCTAACGAAGAATTCAGACTTCTTATCTTCGTTTGTATGTACATATGTAATGGAGTCGTTTTAATTTTCACCGATTTTAAGACATGCACTTGCAATTTTACATACGCATCTAGGATCGATAACAATACAGAAATATAATAATTTAACTCTAATATCCTGACTAGTGTTAACAAGATAAAAAAAGATGAAATTAATTGTCCTACATATATTATTTTTTGCTTGAAAATCGCTTAGCTTATATCGCTAGCTTATAATGACTGCCTCCAATATAGATTATAACAGTGTAACAAGCACGGGTATCGCAAACGAGAAAGTTGACTCTCGTGCATTAAATAAAAAAAAAACGTTGAGTTCTACTTTTTCCGAGCGCTTATGACATATCATTTTCTTCAAACGAGGCAGCGGTTTGGGTCTACCCCTGGCATTGCTGAAGTCCATGGGCGACAGTAACCACCCACCATCATGTGGGAGCTATGCTCGTATGCCTAAAAAGGCAATAAAAAATAACTTGACTTTTTTTTATTGCTTAGAAGAGACATTGAGATGATTAATATTCGATTAATTAACAGAGCGGTGGTTCGAGCGGGAGCGGCGCGTTCGGCGGCGAGCTGTCGAGCGAGATCGGCGCCGCCATCTCGTCGCCGGGGCCCGTGTCCCCCGGGATGGCGGCGCTGGACTTCGAGCCGCCCGCCGCCAGCCCCCCGCCCGAGCACAGCGACGACTCGCTCACCGACTACAACAAGGTAATCCTAGATCCAGTCAATGCGTGATTTTTTTAAAGGATTTTATGACCTGGTAACTAAGACCTTTAAGTCATGTCTTATTTTAATTTATATTCTTATTCTTATGAAAAATGATAATATGAAATGAAATGAAGATGGTTAATTTGAGACGTTAATCAACTGGGATGAAATTAAATAAAATGAGATGAGGATGATATGGGATGAAATATAATCTCAGAAAAATTGTGGTCATTTACTGAGATTTTTTCAGTGGACTTTTTGGAGGATCCCGAGAAGTTACGTCCAGCGGCTTTGTTTCATTTTCCCACATTTGTGCACTTTCACAGAAATTAAACACTTAATAAACCACCGTTATTACACATTTAAACCTGAAGAAACACTGAATAGACAAAAATAAAACAAATCACACAACTTCACTGCTCGCGTTCCTGCCAAAAAGTCCAGTCAATGCGTGAATGTGTCAGAATATCATAGAACAGAGTCAGGTCTTAAAATGTCAATAAGAAAATTTCATAGAACGGCAGCAATGGAATAAAAAATTAAAAGCCAAAAATATGTATAGCAATGTCTTTTTTTTAATAACTGTAATAAATAGTATTGTTGCGTATAGTATGGAGTTTCTTATTGCTGATTATGAGTCTTCAATGTTCAGTGTGAAAATCACAACGATGCTATAATACGAACATATACAAATCATTGTACATACCTTTTGTTTGTTCTACACGAGTAGAGTTTCTCACTTCGCACCGTATGTTCAGTGATATACAAAGCTTTTGAGATACAGGTTAAAGTCTCAATTTTATTGCATAAATCCTGTCCCAACTATCCTAATGGTGTCCATTGCTGCTTCACGGCGAACATTAACAGGATTGTGGTATACGTAAAAGGCGATCGTGATTACTGTATTTTTATATTTGGAATTGATAAAGATGAATACGAATGAATATGAATATTTGTGAATATGAATATTTACTAGTGGTAGGACCTTTTGTGAGTCCGCGCGAGTAGGTACCATCGCCTTACCTATTTCTGCCGTGAAGCAGTAATGCGTTTCAGTTTGAAGGGTGGGGCAGCCGTCGTAACTATACTGAGATCTTAGAACTTATATCTCAAGGTGGGTGACGCATTTACGTTGTAGATGTCCATAGGCTCCAGTAACCACTTAACACCAGATGGGCTGTGAGCTCGTCCACACATCCAAGCAATAAATAAATAAAAAATACGTTCAGCAGACGTCCGCGGGCAGCGACATGTCCCCGGCGGCCGTGAGCTCGGCGGCGTACGGCGGAGCGCTCTACGACGGCGAGCAGAGGCTGCAGTACCCGCACGGCCTCACGCACAGCCCCGCGTCGCAGGACAAACAAGAACATTACCACTACGGACAGGACCAAGGTGCGACCGGTTGCGGAGAGTTACGTTAACACGAAAATCAACTAGATGGCGCTGATAGCTTAAATCACTGCGAACATAGAGCCTATTATACCTTATTGTCTGGTCACCGTCCTCGTCGAACTCGTCGCTTGCGACGAAGGGCTCGACGGGTAAATTAACCCACAGACAGTCCACTAAGTTTCTCGCCGAATCTTCTCCGTGGGTCGCGTTTCCGATCCGGTGATAGATTCTGCGAAGCACGGCTCTTGCTAGGGCCAGTACTAGCACCACTCCGGCTTAAGCCCCGTGAGCTCACCGTTAGGGTGAAGCTGATATAGCCTGTCAAGGCTATCAGCATAGGTAGAAAAAAAAACCTGATTGTTTTTACCTAACTACCGTTTCTTTCTAAATACCGGTGGTAGGACCTCTTGTGAGTTCTCACGGGTAGATACCACCACCCCGCGTATTTCTGCCGTGAAAAAGTAATGCATTTCGGGTTGAAGGGTGGGGCAGCCGTTGTAACTATACTGAGACCTTAAAACTCATGTCTCAAGGTGCATATCTTTTCATTTTTTATAAAATATGTCTATAGATTATTTAGGCTAACATAATATGATACCATCACTAATTAGCGATACCCTATTTATTAAAGATGGCGCTAATTTTATTTCCATAAGATTTTTAAACTGTACTATTTATGCTATTATTATTAGTTAAATATATGTATGTATAGTTTTATTGTATACTATAAGCTATCTTTAGACTTTGAACTGTAATTTTGAGACAAACAATCATAGGCATACACAATATCCAGTGACATGTACATCTCAATCAATCTATAGTGGATCTTGAGGCCATCTTGTTCTAAGTCTTATTGTAGTAATTTGGTTTGTCCATTAGATGCTTAGCAAGTTTATTTGGGTGGGTTTCTAATATTTCAGAGTAGATTTTGGTGCTATGGATTACTTCATCCATAACTCTTCTTATGGCAAATTTGCAATAAATTCTTTCATTTGGAAACGTACCATGGCGCGTTCCCTATCATCCTGATCGTTTTTTATTAAAATCTTTGAAGGGTTTCAATATTAGATTTTGAAGCGAGGGTCCTTTAGTTAAGTATAATGTAATAGAAGAATCGGCCAAGTATTTTAATTTTTTTGTCATTAGCGGAAGTTTCATTAACTGATCATGTAAGTTCTTTTTTTAATGATTCGTTTGACAATGTTTTATTAAATCCGCCCTGGGCATTGTTCCTATATCAAATCAAATTTTTTTTATTTAACATAAATGTAAGTACATGCTTGTTGAACGTCAAAAAGAACTACCGCCAATTCACAAAAACTAGCCTCCGTCTTGATAAGAACTGGCAAGAAACTCAGCGGGCATGTATTTTTTCCTCTTTCTTATTTAAATATTAGATTTTTTTTTAATCTATATATTAATACGTGAAGCAAAAACTTTGTACCCCTTTTTACGAAAATTGCGCGGACGGAGGAGTATGAAATTTCCCACACTTATAGAGAATACAGAGAAGGAGTGCACAAAGCAATTTTTTTTTTAAAGTATTCAGAAAAAAAATACATTATATCAATAAAAAAATACATTACACACACTACCATGTATTTGACACACACGCAAACATATAATCATACTCTTTGTTTATTTGTCAATTGTCAAACTTTTGTGAATGTTTAGTCTGTGGTCAAATTCCGAATAGATTAATATTGTTTGTCTTTAATGTCATATAATCTATAGTGTAAGTTTTGGCGAAATCTGTGATTATATGAGAAATATAATAGTATTTGACAGTAGAACCATAATAATGTTTAAACATACAATTTCAATTAACATTATAGTCGAATTTCGACTACTGCGGGACCACTAGTATTCATTAATATATAAGCCGTGATAGGCACGACCCGAGCGATTATGAGGGGACAGTAGAACCTATTCCCACATAGTAAGTTTCGAAATAAAATTACAATACAAAATACACATTGTCCACAGGGAGTGGTGTTTCTGAAAGTCCACGATTAGACCAGATGCATCAGCATCAATCGATGTACCCAAGCAATTTTAATAGGTGAGTAATCAAATTTTATATTTATATTGAATTAATAGTTTTAGCCTTACAAGAAGCCAAACTAGTTTTTGCCAAATCAAACTAATAGGAAACAAATGTTTTTTTTATAAGTTAATATCATAGATTCTAGTACTCTACATTTACTATGATTCATTGTGGCGAAATTCCCAAGTTTTCGCCATTTTCGAGTAATTCTGTTGGTACTAAAACTTTTCCATAAATAAATAAATAAATTTCGAACACCGGATCCACGAATTAATTTTAAATTGATATTGCGACCATTCTTTATGTGCGGATTAAGTTGTTATTGAAGCGTGTATTATTAGGTTTCATACTATGTATAATATTTTATTTTTTGTTATTGTAATAAAACACTAGTTATATTTTTTGGACCAGATCAACTCCTCCCGGGGGAGGGGGTGAAGGCTCATTTTCTCCCTTGTCGAGCGCGGCGTTCCGGCCACCAGAACATCCGCACACACCTCACACGCCTCACACTCCACATACACCTCTACATCATCAACCCGGTAAGTACAACTCTAAATACAGGGAAGTATTGGAAGGGATCGAAGTAGCGACCTCAATGCATGTGTAATTGATATGTAATAATAATAAATGTTCTGAACTATAAAGTGCAGAAATCATAAAACAAATTTAAATAGCTTTAACCCTTTGACTGCCGTGTAGGTCGCCGGTGCCCTACGCGACGGTCTAAAGTAATTATGTCGATTTCTGTGATTGAGGCGCCGGAATGTATAGCAGACTCTGGGAGTGACTAATCCGAAAATACTAAAAACGAATCTATTTCTAAGTGACCTAAAAGTCTGAAATATACAGTAACAAACAAAAGACAGTAACAGAAGACATATTTACTTGAGTGCGCCGCGTAGGGCACCGGTGACCTACAGGGCAGTCAAAGGGTTAAATAACAAATATAAATTAATAGAGTAATTATTACAGGTTCACCGAGCGATTACAGCGGAACCGTCAAACCGAAATCACAAGACGTTGCCTCCAAGTCGTTATCGGGCTTAGAGTCTTTAGTAGACCAGATTCCGTCAATAGCGGAAGGACCGGGCGCGGCGGCGGGTGTGGCGGGCGCGGGAGGCGGCCCCCCCGGTGCGGTGGTGGGCTCGGGGGAACAACCCGCCCCAGCACCTGTCCCCTCGCTGCCTGAATACGCCCCTGCTCTGTACGGTCCCTATGGAGCGTACGGTAGTGCCGCTTACGGAAATAACGGGTATGTACTTTTGATGGATGACAAAGTATCAAATCAATAAATATAAAAATTCGTAAAATGGGGGGAAATGAAACAAAGTCGCTGGGCGTAACTTCTCGGAATTCTTCAAAAAGTCCACTGAAAAAATCTCAGTAAATTACCACCCATCCCATGTCATCTCATCTCATTTCATTTCATTTCACTCCATATTATAATTTTTCATAAGAATAAGAATAAAAAATTAAAATAAGATTTGACCTAAAGGACTTAGTTACCAGGTCATAAAATCACTTAAAAATTACAAAACTAATCAGGATACGCTTTGATTCAGATACGGCGGTCCGTTCGTGGGATACGGTGGCGGGTGGGGCGCGGCGGTGATGCGTCCGGCGCCCGGCTACCTGTCCGACTGGCAGTACCCGTACTCCGCGCCCGCATACCCCTACAACGCGCCCTACTACGGCCCGCCGCCCGCTCACCATCAACAGGTACATACACTGCTTGCCTTAAGGTCATGGCACACTGTAACGGCACAGCTGCGACACGGCTCTGTATTGTATTTGTAAGAGTGGCCCTCTAACAACGGCTGTTAGGTAGCAGCAAGCGCGCAGACACCCCGCTGTTGGCTTTTTAATACGCTTTTATTAGCTTCAGACGTATGTATGTTTGTAACGGAATCTTTGAACTTGGTTTTGACCCCCTTCAAAACGTCAGATTAACTTGAAATTTGGTATACTTATTAAGGGCTGATGACAATTGAATATTTAAAAAAAATTGAAAAAATTGAAATTCAAGTAAAAAATGAAAAATAAATAATAGTTTAAAAAAAACTAACAAAATAAGCTTTTATAGAAAATCCAACTAAAAAATAGAAAATAAATTTTAATTAAAAATAGTGTAAAAAAAAATGATTTTATTTAAAAAAAAGCGTGGGGTGCATGGTATCAGTAGTTATAAATATTTTATGTACAGATATGAGTAGAAGGGTTATTTTGATAATATCCTGAAAAGCAACGCACGATTTTTTACAATAAAATCATTTTTTCTTACACTATTTTTAATTCAAATTTATTAAAAATTTTATACTAACGTTATGAAACATATTATACGACATACGATTTAAGGGTCAAATTCAAATGACAAGCTAATCGCTGCGTTAGAGCGGGCTGTTGCCGTGCTTGCATAGTGTGCCATGACCCTTAGACTTCATATCTCAAAGTGGGAGTCAGCTACATTGTGATGTTTGTGCTCCGGTGTAACCAATGTGAATTTATAGTCTAGTCCAAGTCAATTAAATATACATTATTAAGGATAACTGAACAACTCCGGGTCAGCTCTTGATATATTTTTATGGGACCACATGATAAGCACTAATTTTCAAATAAAAATCGGTTCTCATAGACAAAAGTTGGGTGGTAACATGAAAAAATAGAGTTGTATTGAAAACTTACCTCCTTTTTGATTACCATATATGGGTAATTGAATATCATGCTTTTTATGCAACCAAAAGCCCAATTATTTTGTAATTATGAAAATAAGTTCTGAGGTTATGCGAGTTGTCGTCTCAACGGTCATGAAGCTGTGTCTGATACCAAGAGATGTTGAATTATAAATGTAACTTGAATATAAATATGCTTTAGTGATTATACTTCATCATATACATGGTTCTGTGGGTCACATCTAGTGTAATAATAGTTAAAGCACAATGACGTAACAAGTCTAGTGAAACATGATAAATTATCGATAATATAACTTCAGTATATTAATTATTTTGTTATATAAAGACAGGATGATACGCGAACACAGTATCGCTTGTGACGGTCGAAAGTGTCTTAGGCTTGGGTCTCCCAGGAGTGACGCTTGAGGATGGAGTGTCGAGGTAGGGTATCTTAGCCAGAGGCAATTATCATCAATGAGAAGTTCATTAAAGTCATGCCGCAGATTAAAATTATTATCAGGGATCGAGGAAACTGATGTCTTGGTCTGATTGGGTCTTGGTCTCGGTCTGAGTATGCTCTGCCCCTAGCATTGCTGAGGTAGGTAGCGGCTTGGCTCTGCTCCTGGCATTGCTTAAGTCCACGGGTCACGGTAACAACTCACCATTAGGTAGCCCGTATCGTATGCTCGACTGCCTACAAGGGTAATAAAAAAAAATTTGGCTGAAAACTATTAAAAACTTTTTTACAAATCTCATTTTTTCTTCTCTGTTCATTGTTAGACGTATTTATTTCTATGAGTATACTACTAAAAATAGTCAAACTTTCAAATTAAATTGGGTGTTACAACTTTGTAAACAACAAGGCAATTTGTACGGAGTTCGTTGTCGCACATAACAAGTCACCTATGTCTTTTTTTTAATTTTTTTATTGCTCTTGTAGGCAGACGAGCATACGGCCCGTCTAATGGTAAGTGGTTACCGTCGCTCATGGACTACAGCAATGCAAGGAAAAGAGCCAAGCCGCTGTCTACCGTAATGTGTAATCAATCCTTTCTAAATATTGTATAAATTATTTCAGGCACATTACTTATCAGCGCCGCAGCTGATCGATCTCCACAAAAACGGCGAACACTCTGCCGGGGTGCCGGCCGTGCCCTCCGTGCCCTCCGTGGGCTTCGGCGGCTTCTGTTAGTGCCCCGCTGTGTAAATACTCGAACTCTGAGGTACGACACTTGAAAACTATGTGACCGATCGACAGTTTTGTGGAAGACTATTCGTGATTGAATCTCAGTGGCCCCGAAGATCATTATCGATGTATCGATAAAATGGACTGTTTTTGTGATTCTCAAATATCGATAAAATATCGATTTTTGCGGATCACAAATATCGATATCGTCGTACGTTGGTCGATCGGGGTTTTGTAAGAACATCGCGCGGAGGTGAGCGCAGTCTCGATATTAGTTTAAGTAGCGAAATTGGACTGATGTATCAATTCGAATTGCGGTTTTTTATCGAATTAAAAACAGTTTTTGTAAAGCAATCGTTAGTGATGTAATTTTAATCTTTTTCAAATCGATGAGCTTAATTTATAGGTGGTTTATTTGTAAATATTGTATGTATTTTTGTTTCAGTCCATCACATGTGTGTGTTTTATTATTATTTGTTTAACTAATCGCTAGCTGCATCACACGTTTTGTTCGCGATTTTTTGGTCTCTAGTTTATATGTGAAAATATTGAAAATTTCGTACATCGATATGGTTACAATAAATTTGAAATATTAGATACCTTTAGACTTGTGTTACTACAATCATAAGGAAAAATATTTTGACATAATAACGGAGATCGGTTTTTTTTTATTATTTTAAATATCGATTATTTTTTACGATTTAAGATGCGATTTGTTTGGGAGTGTAGGTAGCGACGTTAAGTACTTAATTATAATATTCGGAACGTCTGTGATTTCCGGCAATGCCTACTGTATTATGGCCATTCACGATTGCCATAACCGGAATATTGTGTTCGTTTTGTTAGGTAGGTCTCGCATTAATGCAATCGAAACTAATATACGAATTATAAATCGGCGTTAAAAATAAAATTAATGATCTTTGTGTGGATCTACGTTGGAAACACGGTGATTTCTCTTGGAGTTTCATCGGTTTTTTTTTTTTTTTTATTGTAATACGAAGTCTTGCCAATGATGTGTTTCGCTCTAGTCACTTTCTAATTTGTGTCGGCTAGTCAAATTGATAACGTACACGCCGCTCCAACACTCCCGAAGCAAATTACGCTATTTACTAGTTATATATTTCGTGGATTTTAAAATCATAAATTTTCATCTAAGTCACAAGAACGGCCTATGAAATGTATGTAAATGTATACTTTGTATCTTATAGTTTTTTTTTTTTTTAGTTAAAAATGTTTTGTGACGCCTATTTATAGTGAGCATTTTGATTATTGTATTTTATTTTTTACACTGTCGCAACGCGGCGGCCATTTTGTTGACGCGGTCATTGAACTTTCATATTGCATAATATCGCCTGAAATAAAATTATGAAGGTGAGACAACGTCTAAATGTCGTTAGTTAAAGTACAATTTATCATTTCGCCATATAATTAACACCTTGAGTATTTTTTTTTAAAGCGTAATGGGAGTGAACACTACAGCATATTGAGAGTAAACAGTATAGTGTCACTAAAGATAAGAAAGATGCTTCAACAAAAAAAAAACCCTAACATTGGTTTATAAGATTATAATAATCACCTTATATCGTTTTTCTTAATCAGAGAACTCATCTTGTGTCGTGAATATAGTGTGACGTCACTTAACCCATAGACACGGTCCACTAAGTTTCTCGCCGGATCTTCTCAGTGGGTCGCGTTTCCGATCCGGTGGTAGATTCAGCGAAGCGCTGCACTTGCTAGGGCCAGTGTTAGCAACATTCCCGGTTTGAGCCGCGTGAGCTCATCTACACTTCAAGAAGCTGAAATAGCCTCTCAATGCTATCAGCATAGGTAGGGAATTTAAAAAAGTGACGTCATCTGTTGCGAAGCATAGGCTTGTCAGAAGCCACTACATTCCTGTTACAAAACAATGTGACAATACTGTCGACTCTCATATGTTGTGGTCGGCCTGTCGCCATTGCCGCGTGCCCCGCGCATTTCACTATCGTTATCCGTCAGATGCACTGGCTTTCCCGTCAGTGATTATAGCGTTTTTTTTTTACCATTTAAACATCATGTGCCGTACACTTAGAGTTTGTTATTTCGATGAGAGGTCGCGTGCAGATGCAATGCAATGATCATTATATTCAATTGAAGACACGAGTGGATGAAGGAGACAATTTGTTAATTTTGAGAAAACGGGGAACAAACTTTTGTTCCTTATTTTTGGTACTCATCTTACTAGTATGGAGAATGAAAATTATAAGAATATTGTTTTATTGAAAAAATACGTTAAGTGCCCACGTCACTTTCATGCGACGTGATAATATTTTTTCTGCGTACATAACTCCCTCATCACGTGCAACTTCTAAAAATAGGTTTTAAACCCAGAGGTTTAAGATCTAATATGGTTTCTATGCACATAAAACCTTCATTCAATGTAAAAACTCAAAAATCTTAAAAACCCCTTCATCCACTCATCGTCTTCAATTATCAATCGTTGTTTTAATGTAATAAGTATTAAATGTTTTTGATACATATAAGAGTGCGACGGTAGATTAATAGATATACAGTACCCGACGATAAATATTGCACATCGAACTTTGGAAAGAAACAATCGGCTAACTTCGGTTTCGTATCTCGTTATCTCTGTCGCACGAAACACTAAGAGTGCGACTGCACATTACCTCACTTCAACAACGACTGACACGACATATAGGTAGTGTGCGACAGAGATAACGCTCTACGAAGCCGAAATTAGCCGATTGTCTCTTTCCAAAAGTCAATGTGCAATATTTATCGTCGGGTACTGTATGGTTTATTCTTGTCCGTTAAATAATAACAAAATTACCTATAGATATATATATATTTTTAATTAAAGTAAAAATTGCATTTGCACAGCCCTTTCTGTGCTTAACCGTACAATTAATTAATAATAATTTGTAACGCTGCATAATTTTCAATTAGGGTGCTAATTGGTTCGATATGTCTTTGGATTTTTAGTGAAGAAACTAACTGTTTGTTGGATATTCTAGATATGTTTTTTCTGTGTTATTTTGTGACTGCCATTTACATGTGTGACTGATCAATGTTAAGAAGGCGGATCTAAGTATTGTTTTCAATTTAAAAATAATATTTTTAAAATGTCATAAGTTGAATCTATTGCATAGATAGAATATACATATTTTTTTTTAAATTACATTCGATTAAAAAACTGCCTCGTCGTCGTCACATTATAACACATCGTTTTAGTCCTAAACGAATTGTTACTTCTTTTGTACTACATTTTGATGATAATCTTAAGCGTTTGGGTCGTGTACAGGTTAGTTGCGAGTTTAGATCGTGTTTCGAATGACGTTGGATATTGTGAGACTTAACATAGTAACAATACGGTCTGAGATGATTTAGTTTAGATTATAAGTGGATTGACACTACGACCTACTTAGCTGAGAAGCGTTTAATGGTTAGTGATTTTGGTATTATAAATATAAATTGATTTAGTATATCACAATATGGGGATTACAATGTTAGGTCTCACAAGTGTGCTTGCGTTTTTTTTTTTTTAAACTTCTACAAATGAGTCCTTCCGCATACTCTAAAAATAAGTGTCAGTGTGTTGGCGTAATGTAAAAAAAAAAAAAATAGTCGTTAACATCGGAGTGAAAAAAAAAATTGTACAAATTTAACGTTAAATCTTTTTCTTTGCACAAAAATAAAAATCTTAATTGTAAGTTAAGAATAAAAACGAAATAACATACGTAATAAAGACATATACTTTAATGATAGGTATAGACGGATGAATTTATACGGTAGTGAGTCGAAACGCGGTGGTTACCCGGGACGCGTCGGTAGGATCGGTCGGATTGTGCTCAATTGCGTCGATTTATATGCTTTTGTAATGTCTCCGAATGACGTAACGAGGTTTCGACTTTCGAACAGAGACTGGTTCTCTCCTGTGGATGGTTGAGAAGAAAGTATCGATAAAATTTCGTTGTTTAAAAAAAAAAAAAAACTAGGAAAAAGGTTCGTTCCTATACATATTATTTAAATTATGCATGTGCTCTCTCTGATACCTCGAATTGTTGGCTTTAGATGATACTACACTGATATTTTTTACCCTCGTTACGTGATTCGAATGCATCTTCTATAACTCTATTTTAAGTTTTTTTTTTTTTTTGTTTTTGTTTCATTTTACAGAAGGGGAAAATAATTTTTAAAATTTAAATCAACAGGGTATTTAAGATTGCTTAAGATTTTATTTTATATTTATTATAATTATTATTTAAAGGTGCGTGCTCGCTTAGCGCCATTTTTAGTGTACGTTTGAGGTGTCGATTGTGCTATCTCTTTCATTCCTAATATATTAGAAGGAGATAGCAGAATGGCATACAGATTTTTTTCTATAGTACGTTTAATTTTGAATAAACTGATGCATACAAATCGTTTATTTTGTCGCTATTAACGCAAAAAGGTTACCTATCTCATTTATTTACACACAATTATGACCATACATTGAATAGATTTGAAAAGTTACCAACATTTTATTAATTAGTCCAAAGTGTGACTTGAGGCGACGGCTCCATTATAAGTTGTATTGCTTATGACGTAAAAACGAGTATTGATTGCCATTTATAAAATTTGCAAAAATGGTTTCAATGAAAATTCAGCTTCGCATGGGTAAGTCGCCAAGACTAACCGGCTGTTGTGCGATATTTAAATGCAATTGAGAGTAATATGTAGTTTTTATTACGACTAGTGGAATAAATCGTGTGAGATTAAGTACCGAAAAAATACCTAAATGCTTTGATTATTATTTGTACATTTTTATATCCTGTAAATTGTCATGTGAACCAATAAAAAAAGCTGTTGTTTTTTTTTTTTGTGGAACCTGTTGCCTCAAGTCCATTCAGAGCTCATATGATACAACAGAAAAAATACAAAAGGGCGATTTGTGTGTGTCGCCCAAAAGAACGCTATGATATTTCTTCAAAGGGTCTTATTGATGTCGGCTTCTTAACATTTAATTTTAGTGCTTTATGCTTCATACAAACTTTTCGTATACCATTTTTTTTTATTTATTGAAACATAATTGAAGAGTCTCCTTGTTTATCGACCTTTTTTTCGATATCTTTTAATTTTAAAGAATAATTCGAAATAACTTTGAATTTCATCTCTTATTTCAATCCTATTGGATGTGCTTTGCATGATAGTTGACATTGTTAACGGGACTGTCGATTGAGATGAAACATGTCACTTTCAATATCTATCATCACTAAAGGTATAAGGTCAAAAATCCAAGATCTCAAATATTCGAACCGAAAATTTTAATTTGTGTTTGGTTAGTAATTATATTGGATACATTACATATTATACTACATTATAACTATAGATATATGTATTCAATGCGACTATTAATAATATATTTCTAGAATACGATATGTATTTAATAATTAATTAAATATTATCTCGCCCTTATGCCTTTAGTGTCGAGATTTGGCAGTTCAATATAACGTGTCGCTATTTGTAGTGATGTTGCAACCTTTAATAAATTTACGATTTATCTCAATGCTTAGGGAATTCAAAATAACATTTATATCATACCATCGGCGTACATGCTTAGTTCAATATATTTATTTGAAATTAACGGAGACGGTATTTCAATTAAAACAACCGATAACAAATCGAATAATTTACTGTAAATTAAAGGAAATTTAAGGGAACGGCCATCGTGAAAATATTGCCAGCCAAAAACGAGTCTTGTGTTTTTACAATTAATTATGTACATCCGTGATGTTGGCGTAATAAAAAAAATCGATTTAAGCTGAACAGGTTTTCCTTTGAGTGATTTGTGGACAAAAACACCCATTCTCTGAAACAACTCGTGCGCCATCTGACTTACGTTTATGGTACTGTAGCAGCAGCTGCGCCTTAACTATCGATAATAATTCAAAAGCTTTCGCTCGAGGGAATAAATGATGCGCTCGGACTAACATAAATCGTTCAATAAATACTATGTTATTAATTTAATAATTTAAACCGTCTCCGATTTTCACTCGAATATTAAATCTGGTTATGCTGACCCTTAAATAATTTTACTTTCCCTCGATTTTCACTCGAATATTAAACTCGGTTATGCTAACCCTTAAATAATTTTACTTTCCGTCGAATAAGGCTCGGATATTCCTGTGCGTTAAAATGTGCAATGTCGGAGATTAGTGATCGAATTTTTTGTTATGGTATTATCGGTATTTTCATTGTGTGTGTCATTATTGTTATATAGGGATGGGATCTACTAATGTAGGACTGAAGGCTAGCGCTAGTAAGCTCATTAAAGCTAAATTAAATCCTCGTTACTTGAAATATCATAATTCGATGCTTGAAAGGCAAACGTGACTAAGCAACAATAACTGCTTTGTACATAAATGATAGGCAATAACCATATTCGATGTGCAAAAAAAATATATTTCTAGGTCTATTAAAATCATTTCAATCCTACAGCTACTAGCTAGATTCTACTACGGCTAGATTCGTTAAAATAAATTTAGTTTTCAGGTATTTCAACTTTAAATTAGTCTACTGTAAAGTTCACGCATTGGCGCTTAGTCACGTTTGCCTTTCAAGCGTCGATATGTTATTTAAATTATTTCCGAATGCTTGTGAATGACAATAAGCATCACTTAATCGATACAAGCATTTTCAAGCGCAATTTCTGTTCTAGATAGCAAGCGTTCGTACTTTCTGAATTAAATTA